TTATGGGAGTAGTCTACAGTTTACTTGACTGATTCTGAATCTTTAGGATGCATATAAGGGGTGGTCCATGCTGTTCATTCTGTGTACCAAGGATGGAAAAAAAGTAAAGCACTGCTCTCTTTGAGACATGAAAATTAGATGGTACTTACCCATGATGCTTGAGGCGTAGTCAAAGGTCTTTGAATTATACGTGTCTGACCCTTAAATGAAATTGTTTTAAACAAAACCCTGTCTCCAGTTAGTAGCAATTGAAAAGAAGAACACGAATTCCAGACACAAAGGGAGAAAAAGAAGCTCAAATGATTCTGGCCCAGTTATACTTTTGTCTTCATTTACACTGGATTCAATCACAAACATATCTCTCATGCAATAGGCTCATATATTCTTCTGAAACAATCTCATTCTGATAGAATAAATACAGGACACCTCAGGAAGGAATATCGATGACTTCATGCAGTGAGAACTGGAATGAAAAACAAAGAGAAGGCTACTCAAGAGATCAAATGTCAAGGAAACACATTGTGCACAAAGAAACCCAGGTAGCTGAAATTAAACAAGCAAGGGTCAAGGGGATGGCTTAGTGGGAGAGATGCTACCACCACACCTGACAACCTGAGTTCAAGACTCAGGATCTACACAGTGGGAGGAACAAATAGACTGCTATTAGCTGTCCTCGGACATCCACACATGTACTGTGGCACATGAGCTCTCCTTACATATACAATAAAGTAATAAATGTCAAAGAAATATTAAGAAAATAATAAGCCTTCACGAGACTGACCCTACCACGTGGTTGGATATTACTTTAACTGTGTAAAAGTGTATTGCATTTTTAGACTCCTTTTGTTTAACGTGTGTTTAATTGTGGAAAGACGGGTGGCAGTTGTTTCACGTTACCTATCTAAGACACCTGATTGTTCTAATAAAAAGTTGAAGGGCCAATAGCTAAGCAGAGAGGAGGGATAGGTGCGGCTGGTGGGCAGAGAGAAAAAAATAAGAGGAAAAAAACTAGACTGAAGAAGGATGGGGGAAAAAGTGTAAAGAGAGAAGAACAGGAGGAGAGAACAAGGAAGAAAAAGGAGAAAACAATGCCAACCAGACAGCCGCCAGACAGCACACGGAATAGGACATGTAGAAAGAAAGGCAAAAAGCCCCAAGGCAACGGTAGATAAAGAGGTTAAATCAAGAGAAAAGAGCCAGCCAGAAACGAGCATAGCCTACGATAAGTATACATAACTCATAAGTCTCTGTGTCATGATTTGTGAGTTGATTGGTGATCCAAAAGAAAAAGCCTGGTACAACCTCAGGGTCAGTTATAGAATACGTGCATTTAGTCCCACAGATGGGTCTCTAGTTTAGCCTAATTCCAAGGAGTCTCAAACAGTTAACTTCATTTGGCTTTGGACAAACATTGAAGAACTCCCAATTTATATACCAACTGAGAACTACTCTGGTTTGTGATGCTCAGAAGACATGTCCATACTGAAATCACATCTTCTCCATCAACACGGCATGGTCAACATGTCCACCACCTGGGCCGGATAACATCGCTTATCACTACAATGAATCTCTGAAAAAATTTCAGTAAACAGCTGACAGTATCATGAAAACACACCATTTTAAAAAAATATCCCATTCATCACAGAAATTTCAAATGGACATCACACAATGGCTCATAGTAGCCAACTCTGTGGCAGGCCCACGTTATGGTTTCTTACTATGACTCTGGTTTCCTATTAGATCATGGGAACACAGAGAACTGTGTGTAAACTGTGCTGGAATCAGAAGCCCTGTGCCGACTTCATAATAAAGTTCCTCTAGACTTCACTGGTTCCTAAACGCTCACCTTTAACAGAGGGAGGTTTGTCTCCTTGGTCTGAGGAAACTCCTCAGCCAATATGAAACTCAACTTCTATTCCATCAAGCATCCTAACATTCCTCGTCTTCTGGTCAGAAATATCTGCACGTTACTCTGCTGGGCTTTCCCTATTTTCCTTCTTCCCACCATCCATATTTCTACTCCACTTCTCAGCTTTCCTCGTCTCGTCCACCCTGAGGTGAGACGTAATGACTCACTCCTCTCTCTGTAGCTACACTTAACTTTTTTACTTGACCTTGGAAAATGCCTACATTCTGCGATTTCTCTTTAACAGTGAGATGACTGATGCCATAAAATTACCGATGTATTTGAAACTAGAAAATATGATCTTCACTAGTTTAACGAATACAAATCATTAACTATTAGATAAACCTATTTAAATGCTATTGAACTTTACTACTTGGTAAGCAAGGTGAGAATACTAAATTTTCATTCCTTGTGGAGTTCAGACAGCTTTGTGTGACTTCATAGAAAACATGATAATTTGAAACTTAAAATGTCAGGGAGCATTCTCAAAGTCTATAATACATGCAGTATGTTTCTATTATCTTTATTGATGGCTAAGACCGTTTTATCTATCCCAATAAGAGGTTTTTACAATAACCCAATAAAGTTACTGCTTTTATGGGCCAATATTTTGTATCTTTGTAAAGGAACTTGGAAGAGGCTAATTGCCTTACTCAGGGACACTAAAGATTAGGCAACAGGGCATGGCCAAATCCCTTGTACTTCGCCACTACTCTGTGATTTACCTTAACTTCTGCATTTTAGAGTGCTAACTTCCATCATTTATTGGCTTTATTTGTTTTCCTTGCTTAGAACCTGACAGTGGCTCAAGGTTGGAAGACATCTGTTGGCAGCTGCTACCTCCTCAGTCTCTACCTCTCCTAGGTCTCTCCCTCTGCAAATTCCCTCCTCTGGGATTTGACATGAACCCACCAGTGAGTAACCTACACTCCCTAGAAACATCCGAAGAAAAGGGTTTTATTTTTTGCCAGTTATCACAAATAAAAAAAAATCACACGTATGATCCCTGTTAGGGAAATAGAGTTGATTATTAACTGTGAGCACTGCTGACAATTTGCACACTGGTTTCTGACACAAAGCAAGTGCAGGCGTGGCCACACTCCCTCCCATCTTAGAGTCCAGGAGATCTTAAGAAGAAACAAGTCCTCAGGGCTGTGGCCCACCTTACCCAGCACCTCCTGGGGTCAGTAGAGTGTGAGTGCCTGTGAGGGGGAGGAGGAGTCGCCCTCCCATGCGCACAGGTGGATGGGCTGCAATCTGAGGTCTCAGAGGCCATGGGAGGTGTCGTCCGTTCTCTAGAGGCAAACTTGGAATACGTGATGGTGCTCGGACAAGATCTATACAGCGGAGCGTAGGAGAAGCAGCAGGGAACTTTGTAGACTTCCTTCCTTTCTTCACCATCACCTCAAGGTCTCTGACCGACCAACCCCATCCATATCTCTGCTTTCTAACTGCTTGTTGGGCATCCACATGCGATACTAGATGCCAGAACATTAGTGATCCTGAAAACCCTCCCTGGGAAGGTGGCACTTCCTCAGCTCTGGTACTGGGTAAGAAAGACAACTGTCTCTTCACCACAGGATATGAGAGGAAATTTGCTAGTTCCAATAATCACTAAAATACATAAGTTTGAATTTTATAAATTTAAGTTGAAAGAGAGAAAACTCAGAAATGATATTAAAATTTTTTAGACAGTTTTTTTGGTATAGCAAACAGAGAAGTACAAAAAAAATGATCATTTTAAAGGTTTGTAATGTGTTACAAGGTGAAAATTTTCAGAATTTATAAACAATAGCTAAAGATTGTTTGAAAAAATGTGGGTCTGTAGGGATAGCTCAGTGGTTAGGAGCATTTGCTGCTCTTGCAGAGGACGCAGGCTTAGTCCCAGAACCCACATGACAGTACATAGCTTTTAGTATCTCTAGTTCTAGGGATTTTGACTGACTATTCTGGTCTCCTTAGGCAGCAGGCAACACATACATACATGCAAGCAAATTACTTATATTATAAAATAAAAATAAGTAAATATTTTTCTTAATGAAAGTGAAATGAATGTGCCAACCCCTCCCTCAATGAGCATTTGCCCACATACACGTGCACACACTACTTAGGCGTGTGCACTTCTGCCGCCAATCCATGAGAAAATGTAAACTAGTATAATACTGAAATACCGATTTTTTTTTCCTGTTAGATTGGGACTAGGAAATATGAGGAAAGCATTGTAGTGCACGTGTGAACAAAGACTGTAAAAACTCCAGCTGTCTATAAACTCACAAAGTAAAGATCTGTTTTTCCCCCAGGACTCAACAAACCCAGAAGTAGCTAAGTGGCCACACTGACTTCACAGACGGAGGATTCCGCTCTCTACCTCTCTGGTGTCCACATGAGCAGAAGTCTTCCTTCCAGTGGGAGAGCTGCTGCTGCCAGGACGTGGGAAGAGACAGAGGAGAGGACGTGAAATAACAAGAGAATGAAAACTATGGTACACATCACAACTTGATTGCCTTATTTGTAGTGCTATTTCATTTGTATAAACAAAGCTTGCCTGAAGATCAGAGAGTAAAACAGCTGCACTGATCAGCCACACAGACCAGGCAGGGGTGACATACACCTTTAATCCCAGAAGCCACGTTAGTTTGCCATAGAAACCGGACAGTAGTAGTGAACGCCCTTAAATACCAGCCCTAGAGAGGATACGCCCAAGAGAAGACAGCTCTCAGAGACAGTCTCATTCTGAGGATTCCTGGAGGCAGGGATTGCCACTTCGAACTGAGTTAGAGGTTAAGAACCAAAGACTGGTTATTTTGCTTTTCTGACATTTGGGTTGAACCTCAATATCTGTCTCTGGGTTTTTATTAATTACAGCTTACTCCAGGGTACACGCTTTCTGAAAGCAGCAGGCTCCAAGTTCAGAACAGAAAACCCTTTGTTCTTTGAGCTTACTAACTTGTAAAAAGCCCGCCTCTTTTCTTTCCTGGCCTCAGAAAGGTAAATACTCAAACAGATGGGAAATAGGAGATGACAGTAAGTATCATTATTAGCTGGAAGGGAGGGCTGCCACCGAACACACAGACCAACACCATGATGGCAGCTGTGAGAACCCAGGAACATCCATGGAATCTTGAGGACAACAGCCTCCCCCAGTTCATATCAGTGCATGTCCTCTCTATCTACAGGGCCTGTGTCTGTAGCTTAGCATGGCAGCCCTAGAAAAGCGAGCTGACTCCTCACATCCCTCAAGGCTGGCTCCTGCTGGTGCTTCCTCCAGGTGACTCTCAGCCATGAAGACACTTGTTCTCCTCTCTGCCCTCGTCCTGCCAGCCTTCCTGGCCCAGGCTGATTCTCTCCCAGAAGCAACTGAGGAGACTAAAAATGAGGAGCAGCCAGGGGTAGGGGTCCAGGATGTGTCCATCTCCTTTGGGGATCCAGAAGACTCTGCTCTTCAAGATGGAAGTGAGTGCTGGTGCCCAGGATGATAGTGGGTTGGAGTCTCCTGAGAGAGGGTGGAAGATGTGTCCTGGAATCCTGTCAAGAATTGTGTGATTCAGGTAGGAATCTCTGTTGGTCCTCTAGGATCTTCACTGTTTTATTTGGAGGAGTAAGTAAGAGACATAAAAAAATGTAAAATTGATTTTCTTAAAGTTTTTGAATCTAAACATTTATCTGTGAAGTAGTTTTAAAATATAGAAAACATTGATTAGCACTTTGTCTATTCAATTGACAACTTTGTTATAGAAACAAAAATCTATTTTGTTTAAAAGAATAGATTTAGGAACCAAATGCCTGTGTATGAATGTGTTGGGTCAGGAAGACACTAAAAATTGAAGGACTGTGAAATGGGTATCAAGTATGCATGCGGTCAACACACAAATAAGATAAATGTATTTTTCCCAGTGTTTGAAGTTGCTCATGGTGCTGGGTGTGATGTCACCAATGCAGACAGACCTGCTCTGTACCGTGTATCATGCATCTTCATAGTGTTGTACATTATTGCACACTGCTGGCTACCATACTTAATGCCTGGTGTTCTCTGTCTTCTAACCCTCAAGAAGTGTGAGCTGCTACTGTAGAAAAAAGTCCTGCAGGCGTTCTGAACAAGTCTCTGGATTCTGCAACAAAGGTCCAGTGCGCTACACATTCTGCTGCCGTTCAGACCAGAGAGAAGATCACCATGTGCTCTGAGACCGCATCACCTGGCATTACCCTTGTACTTAGCCTCAATTATTTTTCTTTCTCCAATAAATTTCCTTTCGGGAAAAATAGACTGTTTTTATGTTTCTTTGATGCTTTCTATGTGGCTTAGTCAGGACTCTGTGAGCTTGGTAGCAGAATCTTCAACGAATCCCTTATAAAGAAGGTATTGGCTACATTTTAGTAGTCATTTCAAGGGTGAGCAGGAGGTTAGATAAAAAAAAGTTACATCTCAGTGACTCTGCTCTAGCTCCTTCTCCTGTCTATCAACTCTACTGTCCTTTACATGGGACTCACCCTCAGAACCATGTCCCACATTTCCACGATCCCTTCTTCTATTGAAGGACATTTAGCTGTTTGTATTTTCCAGCTGTTGTGAGCACAGCAGCAAGGCACATGACTGACAAGTGTCTATGGAGCAGGATGCTGGGTCATCGGGTGTTTGCCAAGGAGCAGTGCAGCTGTGCCGTATGGAGATTCCCTCATGGTCTCTGAGAAGTCTCTGTACTGGTTTCCATGGTTCCTGCACAAATTTGCATCCCACCACAGTGAATGAGGGCCCCCCTTTCCCTACACCCTCACCCACATTTGTTGTCAGTTGTTTTCTTGATCTTAGCCATTCTTCCTGGGGTTAGATAAAACTTTTGAGAACTTTTAATTTAGATTTCCCTGTTGACCTTGATGAACACATTTAAATATATATCTTTGCTATTTTTATTAGTTCTTTGAAAGTTTCCAACAACCTGTTAACCTGTTGGCAGAGTACTTGCATCTCCCCAAACTCTTCCCAGGTTTACCCCTTTCCCTACCAACCCAAGTTCAGGTCCTTTTTCTTTTTTAAATCCATCTGGACCAATTTGTGCTGCCCATATGTTTTAGATGTGAGGTTTTTCACATGGCCAGTTTACCAGGGGATGCACTCAGAAAGAGCCATCCCCTCTCTAGCCAACAACTGGCAATACAAGCACTGCTAGGGCGGGGGGTTTTGTACCCAGTTCCCATCTCCATGCTGGAATTTGGTCAGACTTGGGCTTGCGCAGTACAGCCACACCACCTTGAATATTCCTAATCTCATTTTAGACATTTTTGTTTCTTTTTTTTTCTGAACTCTCTTTTCAGATCCATAGTTCATTTTCAATTTATTATTTTCTTAACTGTTTTATCTTTTTAGTTCTTTGTATATGCTGAATAATAATCCTTATCAGATGTATAGCTTGCTAAGGGTCTTTACTCCACTGTGAGTTTCCTCTTTACTGATTTTTTACTATTTTTATTTGCTATAGGGAAGGTTTTCAGTTTTATAAGGTCCTATTTTCACTTGGCCTTAAATCTAAGAGGTTAATTCTATACACAAGGAGATAGAAGCAGTCTTAAAAGGATCCTGTTATACATACATGTGTGTATATGTATGTATTTAAAATTTATTCTCATGTGTATAAATATATAGATGTAATGATTACATTAAAGAAGTGATAGTAAATTTGTGATGGGGATATGACAGCAGGTGGAAGGGCGAATGAGGGCCAAAGAGGAGCAGATGCTGTGTTGTTCATATACGTGGTACTTAGGAAAATGTTTAAAATGAAACTGAAATTTAAAACACCATATCCCACATGGGTTTTGTTGGAGACTTGATCAAACTCCACATGTCTAATAGATGCTGTGCCCAATAGAATGTCCTCCAGAAGCCCTGGCATTAGCCCTGTCCACTGTCTTTCCCTCCAGCATGTGTTTAGTGCTGTAATGGCCACCACTGATGCCTGATAGCCAAAGATCTGCTTAGAATCAACAGTAAACAGAATTCTGAGCAGCAGTGATGAAGATAGCATTTTAATATTCAACTGTTTTTGACCTGTCATTGCTTTACATATCTCACATATCTCCAATTTGTATAATCTTTTTAAATAGGTAGAATGAGATAGGGAATGTCTTACTCAGCCCCTTCTGTGAGTAGCAAGAGTGTCAGGAGGGGTTAAAAAATTAGTTTTAAGTAAGCCCATCACTCAACTGTAGGCTCAGAGAAGTGTTCGTTTCCTTTGGAGCTAAGATTTCAACCTTTTGTTGAGCATAAGGAGTGCTGTGTTCTCTTCCGTAACTGATTCTCTGCTGAAATTAGGCTATCCTTGTCAGAGGCAAAGAAGGTTGGAATGCTGGTCAAGGCTAGGAACAGCTTTAGGCAATGGGGGGGGGGGCATTCATCTGAAGTGGGGCCTGAGAGAATGGAGTTCAAAGGTAGGCAGACTAAAGTCTCATGCCACACCCAACATTATTCGGAGTCCCAGACAATTTATATTCTGAGGGTTAAGAAAGGCCACATGAGTAACGTTCACATGATTTCAAACTCTATACAACCACAAGGACAAGCCACATTTGACAAAAATGTGTCTTTCCATAGGGGCTTATAAAGGATAGTTTAAACATTTAAATGAGTACCAGCAGGAAGCTGTTAAGGAATAATCTGATGTAAACTCATTCCTACCCACCACACCTGGGATGGGCACCAAAACGCATTCCAAGAACAATTCGTGTTTTGAAGAAACCGAGGTCACAAGACTCTTGGTTTGCTGTCTTGGAGTTTTCACATAACCCTCAAATTCTCTTCACACAACACCATTCCTGGACTGTGTTCCAACAATTAGGACTTTCTATTCTTCTCTTTTTCACTTGCCTCGTATTTATCTCCAAACCTAAGACTGGTCAACAACCAGGAAAAGACCAAGCACTAGCATTGCCTTCTCCTCAGAAGCTCCCTTACTTTAAGCACAGACCTGGTGCTCACACTGCAATGGCACTTCATGGCCAGATAGTGGCATTGCTGTCCAGAAAGCCTTAGCTGAGCTTCCATCGAGTCTGTAGATAGGAAGGGTGATTCTCTGGAGAGTACGATTGGTAGCCCCAAGAAGGTGTGACCAAAGGAAAGTATGAGTTAATGTACAAGATATTGAGTACCAATGAAACTGTGTGTTTCCAAAAACAAATGACGACCCTTGATATCCTTCAGAATTAAGAGAACTTGAGAAAAACTGTTGATCACATGTGGATAGCCCTGCCAGCTGTTAGCATGGTGGTGTGCTAACATCCACAGCTCTTCCAGGTCCTACAGCTGTTGTGCGGGAGTTTGGGGCTAACACATGCAGAACCCTTTACAGTGTTCTCATTATAGCGTTTATCCACCCCCAAAGTTGTAGGAGGGGTAGATGTTCACATCTCTATGAATGAAAGACAGCAAAAGGCAAGAACTGGGATTTACTTCATCTCTTTTACAATGTGATGATTTGGTACATGCATACACTGTGAGATGGTCACAGCAATCAACATAATTTGCATAACTATCATCTCTGAAATAAGCCCTTTAAATGTCTCTTATTTTTTGAGAATAAAATATAATTACATCATTTTCTCCTCCCTCTCTTTTCTACAAGCCCTCCCACAGTACCCCTCCCTTCTCTCTTTCAAATTTATGGCCTCTGCTTTCATTACTTGTTGTCACATACACATGTGTTTGTACATATGTGTTCCTAATTACATAAATACACCTTGCCTCTATGAATATGTTACTTGCATGATGTTTTCAGTGATGATCATTCATTATTGGATAAATAATGGATGTGCTCTCCACCAATGAAGACTATTTCTACCATTGTGCATTCTCTAGTTGTCTGCAGTTTTGTACAGGGCTGTTGCCTCCTGGGTTTTCCTCCATCCACTTCAGCATATCTATTGCTATTGTCCCTCTTCAACTCATGCTTAGTAACTCATTTTGGAGAGACTTTAAGGGTGTAACTTCTGATATTTTTTGAAGACACAATATATATAGCAAACTTCCAGATCATCTGTCTCTTCCAGTCTTTCTGCCCTTGAGCCTTGGGTGAGGCAGTTGCTTTGTAAATGTATCCATTGGTACCAAACTCTACATATTGCTTGGTTATAGTTTTCTGTAATGATCTCCCTTGGTTGCAAAGAAATGTTTCCTTGATGAGAGGAAAGGACTACATTTATCTGTGAATATAAGAACAGATATTTAGAGTGGAGTTAGGCACTGTGCTGGCTTCGTAAAATGGTGGCTGTAGGTTTTCCTTTGAGATCCATGGGTAGTTGGCTAGGTTTCCAGAACCGGGCATTGTGTCTTGCTGAGCAGTCCTCAAGGCCAACTCGTTAGAATATTTTTGTTATTGGCAAGATATACATGCCACTATTGCACCATGAGGGTTGTTTTTGTGGTTCATAGACTTCATAGATGGATAGGACGGTTGGTTGCTTCCCTCCTCTGGACGCTTACATGGTACCAGAAGGCACCATGAATGCTAGTCCTCAGGGAGGAGACTTTCTGGTCAGTTCTAGGTCAGGTATTTCTGAGGCATATCTGAAGGACATGATATCGTCAGTAATAAAGAACTTATCTTTCGCCACTAGAGGGCAAGCAAGGACAATAGTAACAGACTGTTATTTTAGTAGTCTCTTGGACAACCCTAATCACCAACTCAAAAGCAGACTTCCTATGGGAGCTTTTGTTAGATAGTTTTTGGTTCTAGAAGGGAGATTTATCAGCCCAGATGATAAAAGTTCATCAAATCTATATGTGTATATTTATAGAGATACTTATATGTGTTGCAGTCTTTTGTTTGCTTTTTGAGAATCTTTCTAATATGATTGCTAAGGCTGTCTTAAATGAAACCAATATAATCTCAAGTCCTAAAATACAGATATTTTCTTGGAGTCTTTTCAATAAAATTAAAACACTTTAACGAAGAATTTGGTGGCTTTCCTGAGAAGTGAGATACTGTGAGTGTTTAAATGTGGTGGGCTGAGAACTGTCTTTGAGGATGATAAGAATGTAAGGGAAGGCAGAGTTTGGAGACAAGAAACGCACACATACATACAAACACACATGCATGTACACACACACACACACATACACACACACACAACGATCAGAAGTGCTCTTAAACTTTCCTAAAACTCTACTTCTCAAGCCTGTGTTAATTCTTGAT